CCACGAAGTGGTTCCTTCATCTTAGGAATTAAGTCATAGTCACAAGGGCTTAGATCTGGGGAGTATGGTGGATGGTAAAGCACTTCCCAGCCCCATCGCTTGAACAAATCAGTCACAGCTTGCGCTGCATGCGGCCGAGCATTGTCATGCAAAATGAGAGGAGCGTTCTGCAGAAAGTGTCGCCGTTTTTTTCTCAAAGCTGGTCGGAGATTGTGCTGCAAAAATGAGCAGTAATACTGCGCAGTGACAGTCTGCTGTGGGGGAACGGTATGCATTAGGATGACACCATCACAGTCATACACAAGAATTACCATAACTTTCACATTGCTGGGGTTCTGACGAAATTTCGAACGTTGTGGTGACCCGTGATGACGCCATTCATTTGATTGGCGTTTCAGTTCTGGCTGGTACGATCGGGCCCAAGTCTCATCCAGCGTAATGATATGGCGTAAAAAAGCATCTCCTTCGCGCTCATAGTGCTCCAGGTGGGTTCGGGAAGCATCGTATCGTAGCCATTTCTGCATTTCCGTCAATTGATGTGGAACCCATCGTGAAGCAATTTTTCTCATGGACAGGCATTCCCTTCAGAATGTGCAGCACAGTCGGATGCGCTAATCCTGAATGTGCAGCACAGTCGTATGCGCTAATCCTGTTTGTCCGGCCAGCTGACGAATCGTTTGGCGGCGATCACTGTCCATTAGTGCGGCAACAGCTTGCACGTCTGCATCGCTGACACTCGGACGACCTGGCCGCAGCATGTCTGCCACGTTTTGGCGTCCTTCATTAAATGCTTTCACCCATCTTGATACGGTTCTGTAAGGCAATGCAGATTCCCCGCAAGCCTCTTGAAGCCCTTGATGACACGGTCGTGCTGTACGACCTCTGGCACATTCAATTTTTATCCAACATCGTTGCTCTTGTTTTGGAAACATCCTGACAACACTTACTTTAGACTGTGAGCTAATACAAGGATCCGTTCTTTGCGTCACTCCGCATGCGCTTGACGTAGGCAGGACGAGTCTTTTTGCTGAGAGATAACGTAGGTATGTAGTTCACGTGTGGTATACGCGATATTCTTTGGTTTAGTTGCATAGCATTTTTTCAGCTGTGTTGCCATTATTAAAGTTCCAACCCTCGTAATTATCCAAAAGCATCAATTCTTCAATTTCATTTATTAAATGTGTCATCAAAGTGAAAATGATACCAAAGTTATCCAGTATTGTGTACCTAAATCTACAAAGTGATTATGAGTATTTAAATGATTCAGCATTCTATAGTGTTTTTAGAAGTTTCAGTGGAGAATGTGGTTCCCAAGATCATTAATCGCCATGTTTACAAGAAAGTGTTTTAAATTGCTGGTGAGATTTTTTGGTCCATTACCATCTTCCCTTCAGTGATTCACATGTGATAGCACCTTAACTCTCAATTTTATCTGCATCAATTTATATCTGTTGTTAAGAAAATATGGGTCAACAGATTAAAAGGAATACTAAAATTGACAATGATTGCAGACTTATTCTTTGTGCATTTGCATAACTGCAAAATTCAAATAATTTCATATATAAAAGAGCAGAATTTTTATTTACCGGGCTTTAATTAACTGAGTTCTCTGCTAACTAAGCTAACAATCAATTTAAAGAAATATCAGTGATAGATCTTTTGTCATTTGTTATATTGGTAATGGAGCATTTAACAGCCTTTCTATTATGCATTACAATAAAATATATATTTAAATGCATTAAAATTGATTGCAGTGCTAAGCAACAATTAATTTGTAGACATGTCTGAACAGATAAAAGGATGATGTTTCAGAATGAATAAATGTAAAAACAGTCATGAAGCATTTGTTGCATAGATCCAGAGAGAGAAAAAAAAAAAAAAAAGTGAAGATAATGGTGAAGTCTTCGTTTTGGTTTATTCTCACTGTAGCAAAGCATCCGAGGGCTCTCTGCCTAAAGGGAAAGAGGCATTTGTGTAGAAGACTTCTTAAGGTAAACTGGTTCATATATACATTATATGTGAAGAAAACATGAAACCTTCTACACAACCTGGTATTCGAAACCAGGTCAAATTATAAGTACTTGGCATCCTTATCACTCAGCCACTAATAGGTGCTGATGCCTTCAATCAAGTTAATTAATATTTAAAGCAATGTCTTGATGCTTCTCGTAGGGATCTTTTGTTGATGAAAAACTGGCATTTAAATTAGGAAAATTACATAACTGCTTCAAAGTTTCTGAACCAGATCAGCAGTTTTAGTTAACTTTCTAAATTTATAACAATACCACAAAGCTAACAACAATGATAAAGGAAATCACTTCTATAATTTTTTCTCCCACAGCTGCTGCTCTGGTTTTTCACATTTCCCCCTTTAAACTTAACTGGCACACAGCAATGAATATTACAGAGTTCAGCAATAAAGATATTTTAACTGAGTAATTTATGTAAAGTCAGCAGGTTACGGTGAAATGTAATAAACTATCTTTTGGTGATTACTTCTAAGATAACCAATTGTGAAATTCATTGAAATGTTTGAGAACATGCACAAGCATCAGTACTGAACATCTAAAGGGACCAACCACTTCCACAGAAGATTAAAGTCATTTAGAACAATGGATGATCATTTTAGGAAGCACTTGTTGCACTTGGATTTTAATTAATTTATAATTTAACCTTAATAAGAAAATATTCTCAAAATCTAAACGAATTTTGTTATTTAATCAAATAATCTGGATTTCATCAATAAAAACTGACTAGCATGAAAGCTGAAAAAGTATAAGTTGTCTAGGTATATTAAATAATTGGAGATAAATAATTACCTGTGAACATTTCTTGCTATTAATTGAAAGAAAATAAAATGAAAAATTAATAACTATTTTTTATGATTCAAGATCAAGATACACAATTTTTTGGAACATCTTGGCTTAAATAACAGAGCTTTCCTCATTATAATAATTTATAAAAGATTATGCTTTTATTTACATATTTTAATCACAGCTGCCATTAAAAAACGTTTTTTTCATAGAAATTAAAATATCTTAAAATGTATTTATCTGCATTCATTTAAACCAGTGAGAAAATAAGAGAAATCACTTCAACAGACATAATTCAATTTCATATTTATAACTAACATTAAGAACTGTAAAAAAATGTACTGAATGATCATATAATATGACCATACACAAGAGTTATTCAAAAAGCAAGTTCTGGAATGTAATAATTCCTGCAATCGACAGATAGCGTAATTCTGGCTATGTGGTATTATAGCTTCTATGACCAAAAATGTGTCACAACAGAAAAGTTCACATGGTGAAATGTTGAAAAATGTAAATCTTATGCTGAAAATGTTTAAGACTTATAGAAGATCTCAACGACTGTGAAATTCATTCTGTAATTTGCTTTTTGAAAGCAAGGAATGTGTGAACATGTGAAATCCATAAGCAAATATGGGAAGTATATAGCAATACAGCTCTGAGTGAGGGGATGGTTAGAAGATGAGTTTAGTTGTTCAAATCAGGGAGAACGAGAGTGCAGGATCAAATGAGAAGCAGTAGACCATTTGCTGTGAATGACGAACTGGTTTGTCTGATGTGAAAATTCATTTTCACCTAGTGTTTCGTGTACCATTCCATATAAAACTGTCACCAAACACTTGGGTTATTGAAAAGTGTGTGCATGGTGGGTACCAGAAATGTTGACAGAGCATAAACATTTTGCTGCTGCTGTTGAACCACACTATCACTGGCAATGAGACTTGTGTTTTCCATGTCACCCATCATTGAAACAACAATCAAGGGAATGGGAGCACCCTGCCTTACTCACCCAGCAGAAATTCAAATGATCATAAACATCTCATTTTTAGGGATGAGAACTCTCAGTTTTTCTTATTTCTAAGTTGGCAATTATGCCATTCAATTAAAAAAAAAATTGCATACTTTTATGCACAAACAGTTTTTAGAGTATTGCCGTTTGGTAAAGTATAAGTTTTTAATTTGCAAATTTAATCAATCCGTTATTGATTATCAAACACAGCACTTTAAAACCAATTATGTACCTCTTAATCATTTAATTATTTTAATAGCATATCAAATATTAATGTTTTTAATCTGTAATACATCAAACTGGCAATTTTTATAAATGTCTGCAGCTTTTCCTTATTAGTAAAAGACATTTTAGTGCCATATGTAATGCTATAAGTACAAATCTCTTATAAAAACATAAATATACAGTACAGATCTCTTATAAAAACAAATTTCTATACTTTTATGAGATATCTTAAAATTATTATACTACACAATACCACTTATTAATGACTAATTTCAAGTTTATCAAATTTAAATGGACAATAATTTTATAATATTCTGATAAGTTTTCAGGTGCTTAGTATAGAAATTTTTTTACTTACAAAAAGCAAAAAAGAATTTAAAAATAGGCATTAAATAATTTATGAATCAACATATCATACATAAGAAAAATGTTAACTGTCTTTTTGATTAAAACTATTCTGAGAAGCATATTAATATAAAAATTTCAGATGAATATATAAAATTTAAATTGAAAAATTAAGGCAAACAGTTAAACTTAACTGTTGGGTATTTGCATCCTCGGATGAACCCTTTTTGCTGCATGCATTTAAACAACAATGGTTATTATAAATTTACTTCAAGAAATGAGTTCAAATGAGGAAATCATTAAACTTAACATGAAGCTTTTACAGAAACATTTTATGAAATATAAAGGAATTATTTTACTTAAAAATAAATTATAATTAGTTAAATCAGAAAATAAAATACTAGAATAAAAAATGGCTTTGCTTTGTTGTCCTTCACATATAATGAAGAAAACAAGTATATTATCCTTACTAATAAGTGTGTGCTATTACATCAAAATTTACAATTTCTTTACGGTTATATTTTTATAGGATTACTGAAACTATTTTCATTTTAATATCAAATTTGGTTGCAATCAATATACATACTAAAAAGTAACAAAGTACAAACCTTCCTCCAAAATCAATGTAAAACAGCCTTTGCAAAATCTCATATGTCAATAAAGTAAAACCAAATTGAGGAGCCGATCGGAAAACCCTTGCTGCATGAAAGAAATAATTTCTATAAATTTACAAGCGCACATAAAATACTGCATCTGGTATAAAAAAATAAATGATTACAGGTTATGATCATAAAGAATTACAATGCTAGCAGTTTTAAAAGGAAATTACACATGAGTTTAATTTGACCTTTTATAAAACCGATTAGTGGAAATTTGAAGGGAAAAAAGCAAAAAAGAATTTAAAAATAGGCATTAAATAATTTATGAATCAACATATCATACATAAGAAAAATGTTAACTGTCTTTTTGATTAAAACTATTCTGAGAAGCATATTAATATAAAAATTAGAATGTCACTGTCCGACATTAGAATATAAAAAGATAAGCTTGATTGCCAGACCTAACTCAATAAGAGATTTTAAATAAAAATGAAATTTTCTTGCTCAAAACTTCATCATATGATATTTAATATGAATAGCAATCACATTATAAGCTACAACAATTAGGTAGCTCCACATATAAGCATCTTTTGAAATTCAACTTAAAAAGGGAAGAAACATTTTATTTAAAAACTGACTCGGTGATCTATAAGTAGTCAACAAGAAGCAATAATCTTTTAAAATATGGGAAACATTTTATTTAAAAATTGACTCGTGATCTACAAGTAGTCAACAAGAAGTGATAATCTATGAGCTCATTTTAATTCTGTGTTCTTTGATAACCATTCTTTGCTCATATAATGGAGTCAGTAACTAAGAGATTGGTACAAAGAATGAAGTGCCACAAAAATTCTTGTAAGAATATGTTATCCAATAAACTTGAAATGATTATTTAATTTAAGCAGAGAGCATCATGACTATTTGCCCCACTACATCCCAAGTTTGATTAACAAACTGAGCTTGAAAGACTGTGACAAAGGTGGTAGCTATGCAAATCAATCACTGTTTGAAAGTAGATTGTCAGTAGCAAAATGAAAATAATACCTTCGTCAATAACAAAATGAAACTAATACCTTATAAGTCAATAAGATTGCACAGAAATTTCACATTAAATAAATAAAAGGAAGATAAGCTAAGACACCAATTTTATTTTAGTCGCATACTATGAGATCATTTGCAGCCATGAAACTTCTCATTTTCTGGACGTTATATTTATGTTCAGAAGATGTAGTTTTTTTGTCCTCCAATAAAGCAATTTTATTTCTAATGATTTGTGGATGAAAGTCCACGATATTATTGATAACAATTTTCATCCTTTTAATGCCTTACTTATCATTATTTTTAATTTTGAGAAAATATTTGGGGGCTCATAGAAGGAATCTGTTTGATATGCATCAGAATTTTGATCTTTGAAAGATTAATGGCATTTTGTGTTGTGTCATTTTATGAAGTTTATTATTATGTATCTTTCTGCAAAGAAATTCCTTTCTCAAAATATCTCAATCGCTCTTTTTATTTACTGTTCTGCAATGATCATAATTTTCGCCAACAGCTTGTTAAAAATAACAGATGGAGTACTTGAATTCAAACCATGGCATAGCTGCCAACCTTGAAGTCTTAAAAACTGGGAGAAACTAGGTTTTCATATTGCACAGTGTCACCATTTCAAAGGAACTCCAAACTGATTTTAATTCATTTTGTAATACATATTATTGAACTATATATAATTCAATTCTAATTAAAACATATTATTAGCATTTAATTGGATATTCTAAATTTTAAGTTTTTTAGTTAATTTCATTTATAATTTTCTTACACTTTTATACTGAGAAGAAGTACTTTTAAATACGTTAAAATTAAAAGTAATAAGTAATGTAATGTAGTATTTATAAACTTGGTAATGTTCCATGTATTGAAGTAAAGACAATTAAATACAAATACTAACTGTTTATCTTTGCTTAAATCTTTACACAAAAATCTACACTAGATTAAAGATAACTCAGATCAAATGAAATTTAATAAGAAAAATTCAATAAGATCAGCTACAAGGTAACCAAAAATGTTCTTGCCATTTCTGATATGACATTAGAAGAGTGAACCCCAACATAACAACAGTCATCAAACCTAGAGAGGAAGTGGTTAGGATGGGAGTCCGAACATTGGCCAAGAGTATAGTCCACTGCATCAGTACTTCAAACATAACTCATACAGCCACTGATTGAAATGGATGCGTTAAAGGTGCTCGTTTGGAGTTGTTTGGTGTATGATTTTAAAGTTGGCCTATCAGCAATAGAATCAAGTCGCCGAATTTTCCAAGCCTTTGGGGATGATGCCGTTTCCGAAAGAACTGCTAGGCAATGGTTCCAGAAATTCAGGTAAGGGGATATGTTCCTTAATGGTGCACCACACAGCGGTCAGCCACAAGCACTGAACGATGAGGCTCTGAGAGCAGCCATAGAGAGCGATAGTAGCCAGAAATGTGGTGTGTTTGCTGCACACTTCCAGGTACCTGATAAAAACGATCAGACTTTGTTTGCACCACATAGGAAAGGCATACAAACTGAGCAAGTGAGTACCCTACTCACTGTCCGATGCAGACAAGAAACAGTGTGTTGCTGCCTGTTTGTCATTCTTAGTTGGCACCGCATCACATTTGATTGAGTACTCACCATCAATGAAAAAGGGTCACACTGCGATACCTTCTCTCCACCCACGCAAGCTGGTAAACTAGTCGCCAAGTGGTACATTATGAGCTCCTGCCAGTTGGCCAAATCATCACGGCAGGCCTGTACTCGCAGCAGTTGGAACATGTGCATCAAGTACTGATGCATAAAGAGCCAGCATTGGTCTATCATAAGAGTGTACTCCACCTCCACAATAATGCGAGGCCACATGTGGCTTGGGAGGCCAGGGATACCATCCAGAGATTGGGCTAGGAGACACTACTTCATCCGCCATACTCCGCAGACCTCGTGCCAACAGAATACCACTTTTTCCATTCTCTGAACAACCCTCTTTGTGGGAAATCCTTCAACAACTGGCCAGATGCCCAAAAAGGCACCCACTGATTGGCAAAAGGCGCTGGATGACGATAGTGATTACTTTGAGGATTAGCGGTGATTATTATTTGTTTTATGACTTTTTCTTTCTGATTGTCCAAAATGGCAAACCCTTTTTTGGTAACCTTTTAAATGTAAAAAAGCACAATTCAGATGGAAATAATATTTAATAAGAAGACTTAATCTGAAGATCATTATAGATGAGAAAATGAAGTTTGCTTAATTTAAATTTCCTTAATTCAATAAATTTTATATATTGTGGGAAATATTCTCATAAGAAAGGGTAAAAATTAAAAACCAAGAGGTTTGGTGATCTACCGGAAGACCAGGAGATGTGATGAAAAACCAGAAGAGTTTGTGGCTCATTGTATTCTAATCAGACTACCGTGGCTCTAAATCTTCTCATTACATTAACACATTCGCTGCCACTGACGCGCTGGCGCGTCAGCATGGCGTTACCTCCCATGCCGGTGACGCTCTGGGGCGACAATCGAGTATGATAAGTAAACTGCTTTAGTTTTAGTTCGGATTTGGAGGTTGCACGATGAGATTTGTTTTTGTGGCACGTTAGTGAAGCATTATTTTTATATTTTCAGTGCGTGGTTTTTAAATTTTGTGTTTAAATTTTTTTTTTGTGCATTTTTAAAAATGGCAGACAGTACAAGTATTGCAGGGCCTTCACAGCCTAAGAAAAGGAAAGTAAGTAAAAAACTGACTGATGCCGAAATATTAGAATTACTAGAAAAGAGTGATCTTTCTGATTATGACAGCGTAGACGATGAAGATTACGGTTGGGATTCTACAAGCGAATCGGAAGGAGATAGTGATGTCGCTGTGGATAACTTAGAAATGTCGGATTTCTGACACAGAAGATCAACAATTACCGGTAATCCGAACAGAACTGTTGTGTTGACTGGAAAAACAGATTCAAGTTGCATGGTAAGTCATACATTTACAAAATCTGAGTCCTTGCTAATACAGCCAACTGAAAGTACTCCTATCGGATATTTTCGCCTTTTCCTCACTGAAGTATTTCTGGAAAAAATAGTCGAAGAAACAAATCGATACGCATTAGAAATACAAAATAGCGATAAAACGAAAGAAAAGTCACGAATAACGCTTTGGAAAGAAAATGATAAAATGATTTAAAAGTGGATGAATTTTTAGTTTTTTTGGGAGCATTCTTGCAAATGGGGACAGTAAGAATGAATAGACTTCAGGACTACTGGAAGAAGGACCCATTATTTCATAATGCAGGCATTGCAAATAGCATTAGCCGAAATCGGTTTTTATTAATTTTACGTGCATTACATTTTGCAAAAAATAGTGAACCTGGAGAACCTCAACCTACAGACAGGTTATATAAAATACGCCCTGTTATCGATTTTTTTAACGAAAGAATGTGCGAGATATATTATCCTAATAGAGAACTTTCTTTAGATGAATCTATGGTTCTCTGGCGAGGTAGATTATAAATAAAGAATAAAAGACATAAGTACGGTATAAAACTTTATATTTTGAGCACATCAAGTGGAATAGTGCAAAAGATTGCCGTGTATACTGGTTTATTAGATGACTATGGAGGGCAAAATCATACACAAAAAATTGTTTTGCATTTACTGAATGAAAAATTAAATGTCGGTCACCATGTTTTTATGGACAATTATTATAATAGCTTTGACTTGGCCAAGTTACTGTTAGATAAAAAGACACACTGCACAGGCACATTGAGAACCACTCGAAAAAACACTCCAAAGAATGTTCAAACTACTAAATTGCGAAAAGGCGATACTACTGAAAGGTATTGTCAGAGAGTAATGATCGGAAAATGGAAAGATAAGCGTGAAGTGTCTTATATTTCTACGGAATACAAAAATGAAATGGTTGACATTTTAAATAAACGAAATGAAATAAAGCAGAAGCCTCTGCCAATCATCAAATATAATGCGTTTATGTCTGGTGTAGATCGGCAAGATCAAATGCTGTCATATTATCTCTCGGAGAGAAAATCACTACGCTGGTATAAAAAATTGTTCTTTCATACTATTGAAGTAATGCTAATGAATTCACATGCTCTTTATAATAAATATTCCGGAAAAAAAATATCACTTTACAAGTACCGACTGAACGTTGTAAAATCACTTTTGCCATCAACAGACGAACAAAAGCCGACTCCCAAGAATCTCAGACGTACTCTTCAGAAAAGAGAACTTGCACCTGGTAAAACCAAAATACAAAGAAAAAGGTGTACCTCTTGTTCCTCTCAAGGCAAACGCACGGACACTACGTATGAGTGCCGTGACTGTCCCGACAAGCCAGGATATTGCTTGAATTGCTGTGAAATATACCATAAGTGATAATATATTTATGCAGTACTGTTCTACACTGACATTTTGTTTGTAATAAGTTTAATTTTTTTTTTCATTTTCTATTATGTTGTTTATGTATATTATACAATATTTGTTACATTTTATAATCTTACATTTACATTTATACATATTTATGTTTTACTGTTACATTTTATAATTTTTCATAAATTTCACTTCTCTTTATCCAATTAAACATTTTATTTCTTTTAAACTGTGACTTTATATAATGTGTCAATAATTTCGCAGAAAAATGATGAGACGCGCCAGAGCGTCAGTGGCATACAGATAATAAGTTGAACGTGAGGTGCCACTGACGCTCTAGAGTGTCCGAAATTTTTTTTACACTAAACACGAAAATAAAAGGTTTTTCTTTTTTTTCTGGCTTTACTATTAAAATATTAGGAACGTTTTTAATCATTAAAACACTTTTTTTTAAATTCGGCTTCTGAGGATGGATATATAAATTTTGGTGGCAGCGAATGTGTTAACTTTGAATGAATGTTCTTTTAACATCATATGGATTTCTGCTTTGCTTTTGGACTTCTAGATATTAACCTTGATCCCAGTAAATATAACTTAAGGAAACTTAAGGACTGTATATAAGATATCAATTTTATCCTTATATTTAACTTCTCATCATTCTTTTCACACAAACCTCTGAAACATAACTGATGAAAATTGTCAGATCATATTTCTATATAAAATATAAAACGTTAAAAAGGAAACTTTTTTTTTAAATGACTAATTTATACTTCTCCTTGGCAATTACATAATTTTTGCTTCTTATTTATTACTACTTAAAAATGTTATTGCATCCGAATTTATCCCTAACATTCTATTATGCTACTTATTAATTTATTGGCAAAAGAAAATAATCAGTATAAGATACTAATTACTAACTTCTTAACCACTTTTATTTAATTATTCTTTTTATTAAAAGATGCATATATTTATTTTCAAATCTTACTTTTGATTGACATATAACAAAAATATATTCTTATCATTTATCTTTACTATAATAGGGACATACAAAATGAAGGTTTGTTTATGTGATTATGGCAGAGCCTTGAAGGCTATTTGTCTATGGGGAGGGATGCTTTCGTGGAGGACTTTCTAAGGCGAACTGACTACATAATGAAGAAACTTAAAATAATTACTAAATATGTTCAAAATACTATGGAAAAAACTTGAACAGCAAGAAAATGCATTTAAATTTTATTTTATATTTATCTACATTTGCAAATTCACTGATGCACGCATTTATGTCAGGAATAATATATTAGTCTCATGACCAACTTTAACTACCATTTCCTTCCATTATGTGCCATAGCATTTTACCAGTTATTCTCTATGAACTGGTATATTAATAAATTTGCCATAAAAATAGCATGGCTATTATATAGTGAAATAAATCAACATTTCAGAAACATAAGAGAGGCTAACAGCTGCTATTAAAAAAAAAAAAAAAAATTAAATGACTGGATTCAGTGACATGTAATTAATTTCCTACAATATTTTATCAGATATGAATTTTAGATTTATATATCAGTAAACATTAAGCAAAATTAATACCAGGGCCTCCTTTCCAAAATGCATAACCACCCTCTTCACGCCAAATTTTTCTGCATGCATCAACTACACCAGAATATGTTGTTTGGCCTTCTCGAGCAGCAACTTGAAGTCTCGTTTTAATAACATCTGCTGGTGTTACTAAATAGGCTGCAGGAACACCTAAACATATAGAATAAAAAAATGAGCAACATATTCTTTAATTGATTTACTTTTACAAATTTTTAACTAATAAAACTAAGCATTAATCCTTATGAAGTCTGTTTTAAGCAACAACTATTTAATAAGTAATAATGATAAATAGTTTTAAAATAAATAACATATAAAATGCATGGGAATGTGGTTCTAGCAGTGTCATTCCGCATGATAGAAACTTCAAATTTCACTGGTACATGTCTATATGTCAGGAGCGATCTTGTTTAAAGTGGTTAATGGTGGTGGGTCAATGAAAGAAGCAGAAGCAACTTAACATTTTAGACTATGCCAGATTCTTATAAATAAGCTCAGCATACAATAATCCAGTTTCTGTAAAATGAATGTGTTAGTAGAAGTGATATTCATTATTTGAATTAAAATGCCTATGGGAATGCATGTATGTCACATAGTGCAGTTTTTTGATGATTTTGATTATGGACATGTAAATACAGCAGACATGCCATGATTAGGTCAAGTACATTTAATCATGAACTACTACAGTGGATTTCCTTGTGAAGGTGAACCATCTAGTAACCACCAGGGAGATTACAGACAAATTGTCTCTGAGCAAGGTATGCATTAAAATCTGCAATATAGGAAGCTTTGGACATGCAAATGGCTGTTTGCTCCAGAATCTCTGCTTTGTTACCATGCAGCAGGAAACAACTTTCTTTCCTGTAGCTTATGATAAAATATGGTGTCATTTCTTTGATCCGATAATAAATAAAGATAAAGGAATGGCAACTTCTCATTTTTGTTTACCCCAAAAGAAGCTCATTCTTCAATTACAGCTGGTAAAATCATGCTTTTTCTTCTACCCCTTGGTATTGGAGGTTGGAAATGAAAGCCACAGTTAATGAAAACAAATGCTGTGAAACCTTATACAAAGTGAAAACAACCATGAAGATGAATTGTAGATATGGCATGTATCCAAAAATATATATTCTGTTGAAGTGCAATGTCATCCTCATATGGCATTCAGCCTAATTTAAAAAAAAAAAGAGAGAGAGAGAGAGAGAAAGCTTTGATTTTACATTATGCCCAAATGGACATTTTATTAATGTTTTATATGTTACTTTTATTTATCAAATATCATGCTCTTCACACTTATAACCATAAAATTCAATTCAACAGCAACATCACAAAATAATTTTAAAATGAGCTTATTTTTAGAATTTCCAATACACACTCTTGTGTGCTGGAGATACCCCCTTCTCAGTGGAAGTGAATTGTGATGGTTTCTTTGAGCTCCACGTCATTTTGGAAGCACTGCCCCCCAAGCCACTGCTTCAGTTCAGAAAAAAGATGAAAGTTACTCGGCGCTAGGTCGAGACTATATAGTGGGTGTTCGAAATTGTCCCGCTGAAATTTCTTAAGGAGCCATTGGGTTACATGAGTGCTGTGAGGATGGCACTGTCGTGGATCAGGACAATTCCAGAAGACAGCATGCCTCTTCGTTTGTTTTAAATAGCTCTCCGTAAGTATCGCAAAGTTTCACAACATGAATCTGCATTAATTGTTGTTCCAAGCTGCATAAACTCCACAAGCAACATACCTTTTAGGTCCCAAAAAATAGTTACTATAATCTTACTGTTGTTGAAGGTTCGTTTGAATTTTGTGGGTCTCTTTGGAGAATTTAAGTGCATCCATTGTTGTGATTGTCGTTTCATTTTGGACGTGCCATATTTAAAACATCTCATCACCTATTACAACGGATTTAAAAAAATCTTCTCCGTCAGTATCGTAACAGTCAAGAAACTTCAATATTGCAGCCATTCAGCAAGTTTTGTGATCATCAGTCAACATCTGTGGGACCCAGCAAGCACACTTTCTGTAGAGCAACTGTTCAAAGAGTACAGGGAAGATATTGAACTTCCGGAAATTTCATCGATAATTCACTTATCATGAACCTTCAGTTTTCCTTAACAGTTTGGTCAACTCATTGAACAATATCGGTTGTAGCCTCAAACTTGGCTCTTTGACCCCCTTCATCATGCACATCAGTTCGGCCATCTTTAAACTTTCGACACCATTCACGAACAACGCCATCACTCTTTTCCATACGCTTGATTCATTCTTCGATGAATTTCCGCTGCATGGTTCCCTTCTGCCGCAAGAAACAAATAACAGCTTGCAATTCACACTTGGTGGGAGAATCAATAGTGACAGCCATGTTTACATGACTGCATCTCAACAGGAAATGGTGTTGCCAGCGACAGAGCGTGTGGTGGGGTAGATGCGTAGTCGCCTACTATGCACACCAATCACCTGCCACATGCCTGGCCATAATACTGTGCAATCGGAGGTTGAGGAGAAGAAAAAAAAAAAAAAAAAAAGAAAAGAAAAGAAACACTCATAGATGTTTTTTTTTTTTTTTATCATTTCTGTCAACGACTAAATGAGGTCCAGTATAATGTGATATCAATGGAGGATTAACTTTATCAGATCTTAAAAATATATGAGAACAAGTTTTTAATGAGGAGTTGATGAATATTTTCGGACTACTGTGTAAGCAGGGTTGCCACTCAAACAGGAGAATGAAATTCCCTGACTTTTCCAGGTTTTCCAGGTGTGTTTCAAGAAAATTCCAGTCTATCCGCGTAATGTACGTTGGCTGTGCTAAGAGGTAAATTAATTATGGTATTACTTGTATTGTGTAGCAAATTCACTTAATTATTCGATAAGTCCCAGAGGACATTTATTCTTAATTATTCTTGGTATACTTTGTTTGATAATTTTGTTTAGTTTTCCACTTAAGAAACTTAATAAAATTTAAGATATATATAAGTGTCCTGGAGGGCCAGTCCACCCTCGGATGAGAAAATTTTTGTGGGGATTTTAAACGATGAACAAATTAATTAATGAAAGACATTTTAATTAGACAAACGATTATTACATAAATTTAACATTTAAGAGAATTAAACAAGTAATGATTCGTCAAAGTTCTTTTTGAACAGAAGCAGCATCTCTGCTTTCACGTCAATCATCTATCATCTCAAAACGGTAATTTCCCTAATTTTTGCTTGGCGCCTTCGCAGCTCGTAGAGAGAATGACGTCACAGCATCTGGTTTTCATCACAGCTCCAAGCGATTGGCACTTACATATATTGGATAACAAATGTATGTTTTATTTAATTATTACTCATGATCATCATCAGTTCAACATGAGGCTAATCCAGTCCTTATAAATCACAACGCAATGCTAAATAGGTTAGATTTTAGGTAAATTTAATTTGCATGAGGTATGTTCTTAAAAGGCACCTTAACACTTGAAAACACAAATATAATTATAATAGTTGTTGTTTTCTCCCCTGAAGATTGAGATTAGAATCTTCCCAATCTGGAATAAAATAAGGCTTTTTTTGCAGACATTCTGCAGCTAAACGAAAGAAAGAAATCTATTTTAATAAATTGAGGTATTTTATATTTATTTCGCAGCATACATAAGGGAAAAATATGTGCATTAAATTTCGTGATGGTATGTCATCATACTGCTATAATTAATTTCAGGATTATGCCAGAGAAAATTTCCTGAAATTTGGAAATATTATTTACTAATAATAAATACATTTAGAGGGAAGAAGAAACATTAAATTATATGAATAACATAAAAATAATTACTTAAAAATTGAATTAGAATAATCAACGATATTTTAGCGAATATAGTTATATTACATGGCTAGCCTAGATGACTGATTACTATTTTTTTTATTTTACTGCAAAATGGCAAGGTATTTATTAAAAAGAAAAAAAAAAAGGTTTAAAAAGATTTTGCGGTAAAATTCTAGTATACGATAAGGCTTTGGCACGATTTTAAAAATTATCGCCAAGACCAAAATGACCCGTTTAATGTGCATCAAGATGTCGCCAAATCCCATTATTATTCTAACCAAAGAACGTCTATGTAAAGAAGAAAAGGTTCCATACAAGTAAAATGCTATTACGCCGCTAGAATGCGGAGGGAAAATTTGCCAAGGGATTTGGCGACGGAACCTGGCGGCCAGAATTTCCCTCTCCGTGATGTGTACAGGAAATTGAGAAACACGTGTTACGAAGAAACGCTTTTTAACAAAAAGAAAACTACGAAAATCCGTTTTTAAATTATTGTGAAAAATCCAAGAAAAAACGTAACGTTTCTTCTTGGATTTTTCGCAATAATTTTAAAAACGGATTGTCGTAGTTTTTTCCCCCCCCTGAAAATAACTAATCCATGAATTAATTTACTTGCGCCAAAAAATATTTTCTTTTCCTTTAGAGTTTAACCACTTGCGCTAAGACTAAACTTCACAGTTGCGGTGCCGTGCGCTACAATATAACAAGCAGTAAAGTGTCTTATTTCCGCCGCTCCGCATCTGCGAGTGCAATCCAGAGCTGTAACTCGAGAAATAAACAATCTCGTTGTTAGGCGACGTTTGCACCACGTTATTTTCATTTTTGCGATAAATGCTTATCGACGTGGTGTTCACGTCGCTCGCGGTTTGAGACAAAAGCATCTCGACGTGCGTGGCACGTCTTTTTTGCGCAAGTGGTTAAAGAAATTTTAAACGATATTCATTTTATGAACTCTTGATAACGTGACCTTCGAACTTCGACACCGGTTTCGAGCTTTGGTGACAGATATATCAGACATGCACAGCTGTTTTCCGTCTATGATGGAACGGAGCCACAGCCACGTCTGTTGCAGAGAGGTTTTCCTTCTTTACAATACATATTCTTTGATTCTAACCTCCATGGTACCGTATACTAGGATTAAACCCATTTTGTTTTATATGAGAACAGGTACTTTCTTTAGTTCATGCACTGCACATGCGATTCTTGAGAATAATGGAAACCAAAAGTTGCGGGAAAGTTGCTTTGCCTTTCTAAAAGACAATCAAATTGGAGCTGCGAAAATTGGCTTAATGCCAGCTACCCGAATGACACTCACGTGATACATAATTCACCAAAAAAGTTACCTCTTCCGACGT